AATGTAAACGTTCAAAAAAATTTTTTTTTTGCTCGAAACAACCTAAAACAACTTGAATTATGTCGCCAATACTATTTGAAAAGTTTCGTGAAGATATCACGACCGTATTTGTAGAAAAAGGACTTAGCCATTTTTCCAAAAAATCCATGACCCCGGGTATGCAAAAAATGTAAAAAAAATCGTCAGTATTCCCCAAAAAAAATTTCAGCATTAAGTAAGTTAAAAGCTATAAGATACCTTTTTTAAACATTGCAAGATTTTTCCGTGAACTTCCAAGTGATGTCTGAAAGAAAGAGGCCAGGTAAATATTTAAAATTCAATCACTTTACATAATCAAAAAAAGTCGAATAATGTAAATATTCAAAAATAATTTTTTTTGCTCGAAACAACTTGAAATGACTTAAATTATGTCCGCCAATACTATTTGAAAAGTTTCGTGAAGATATCACGACCGTATTTGTCGAAAAAGGACCAAGCCATTTTTCTAAAAAATCCATGACCCCGGGTATGCAAAAAAAGTCAAAAAATGTAAACGTTCAAAAAAAAATTTTTTTGCTCGAAACAACTGAATTACTTAAATTATGTCCGCAATACTATTTGAAAAGTTTCGTGAAGATATCACGACCATATTTGTCGAAAAAGGACTAAGCCATTTTTCTAAAAAATCCATGATCCCGGGTATGCAAAAAAATAAAAAAATGTAAAGGTTCAAAAAAAATTTTTTTTGCTCGAAACAACTTAAAACAACTTGAATTATGTCCGCAATACTATTTGAAAAGTTTCGTGAAGATATCACGACCGTATTTGTCGAAAAAGGACCAAGCCATTTTTCTAAAAAATGCATGACCCCGGGTATGCAAAAAAAATCAAAAAATGTAAACGTTCAAAAAAAATTTTTTTTTGCTCGAAACAACTTGAAATGACTTAAATTATGTCCGCATTAATATTTGAAAAGTTTCGTGAAGATATCACGACCGTATTTGTGGAAAAAGGACTAAGCCATTTTTCTAAAAAATCCATGACCCCGGGTATGCAAAAAAAGTAAAAAAAATCGTCACTATTCCCCAAAAAAAATTTCAGCGTAAGTAAGTTAAAAGCTATAACATACCTTTTTTAAACATTGCAAGATTTTTCCGTGAACTTCCAAGTGATGTCTGAAAGAAAGAGGCCAGGTAAATATTTAAAATTCAATCACTTTACATAATAAAAAAAGTCAAATGATGTAAATGTTCAAAAATAATTTTTTTTGATCGAAACAACTTGAAATGACTTAAATTATCCGCAATACTATTTGAAAAGTTTTGTGAAGATATCACGACCGTATTTGTCGAAAAAGGACCAAGCCATTTTTCTAAAAAATCCATGACCCGGGTATGCAAAAAAAATCAAAAAATGTAAACGTTCAAAAAAAAATTTTTTTTTGCTCGAAACAACTTGAAATTACTTAAATTATGTCCGCCATACTATTTGAAAAGTTTCGTGAAGATATCACGACCGTATTTGTCGAAAAAGGACCAAGCCATTTTTCTATAAAATCCATGACCCCGGTATGCAAAAAAAGTCAAAAAATGTAAAATGCAAAAAAAATTTTTTTTTGCTCGAAACAACTTGAAATACTTAAATTATGTCCGCAATACTATTTGAAAACTTTCGTGAAGATATCACGACCGTATTTGTCGAAAAAGGACCAAGCCATTTTTCTATCAAATCCATGACCCCGGGTATGCAAAAAAAATCAAAAAATGTAAAGGTTCAAAAAATTTTTTTTTGCTCGAAACAACTTAAAACAAAATTATGTCCGCAATACTATTTGAAAAGTTTCGTGAAGATATCACGACCGTATTTGTCGAAAAAGGACCAAGCCATTTTTCTAAAAAATCCATGATCCCGGGTATGCAAAAAAAGTCAAAAAATGTAAACGTTCAAAAAAAATTTTTTTTTGCTCGAAACAACTTAAAACAACTTGAATTATGTCGGCAATACTATTTGAAAAGTTTCGTGAAGATATCACGACCGTATTTGTCGAAAAAGGACCAAGCCATTTTTCAAAAAATCCATGACCCCGGGTATGCAAAAAAAGTCAAAAAATGTAACGTTCAAAAAAAATTGTTTTGCTCGAAACAACTTAAAACAACTTAAATTATGTTCGCAATACTATTTGAAAAGTTTTCGTGAAGATATCACGACCGTATTTGTCGAAAAAGGACCAAGCCATTTTTTAAAAAATTCAATCACTTTACATAATCAAAAAAAGTCAAATGATGTAAATGTTCAAAAATAATTTTTTTTGATCGAAACAACTTGAAATGACTTAAATTATGTCGGCAATACTATTCGATAAGTTTTGTGACGATATCACGACCGTATTTGTCGAAAAAGGACCAAGCCATTTTTCTAAAAAATCCATGATCCCGGGTATGCAAAGAAAGTCAACAAATTTAAACGTTCAAAAAAAATTTTTTTTTGCTCGAAATAACTTGAAATTACCTATATGATGTCCGCAATACTATTTGAAAAGTTTTGTGAAGATATCACGACCGTATTTGTCGAAAAAGGACCAAGCCATTTTTCTAAAAAATCCATGATCCCGGGTATGCAAAAAAAGTCAAAAAATGTAAACGTTAAAAAAAAAATTTTTTTTGCTCGAAACATCTTGAAACAACTTAAATTATGTAGGCAATATGATTCGATAAGTTTTGTGAAGATATCACGACCGTATTTGTCGAAAAAGGACCAAGCCATTTTTCTATAAAATCCATGACCCCGGGTATGCAAAAAAAGTCAAAAAATGTAAACGTTCAAAAAAAGATTTTTTTTGCTCGAAACAACTTGAAACAACTTAAATTATGTCTGCAATACTATTCGATAAGTTTTGTGAAGATATCACGACCGTATTTGTCGAAAAAGGACCAAGCCATTTTTCTATAAAATCTATGACCCCGGGTATGCAAAAAAAGTCAAAAAATGGAAACGTTAAAAAAAAATTTTTTTTTGCTCGAAACAACTTGAAACTACTTAAATTATGTCCGCAATACTATTTGAAAAGTTTCGTGAAGATATCACGACCGTATTTGTCGAAAAAGGACCAAGCCATTTTTCTAAAAAATCCATGACCCCGGGTATGCAAAAATGTCAAAAAATGTAAACGTTCAAAAAAAAATTTTTTTGCTCGATACAACTTGAAATTACTTTAATTATGTCCGCAATACTATTTGAAAAGTTTCGTGAAGATATCACGACCATATTTGTCGAAAAAGGACTAAGCCATTTTTCTAAAAAATCCATGACCCCGGGTATGCAAAAAAAGTCAAAAAATGTAAATGTTCAAAATAAAATTTTTTTTCCTCGAAACAACTTAAAACAACTTGAATTATGTCCGCAATACTATTTGAAAAGTTTCGTGAAGATATCACGACCATATTTGTCGAAAAAGGACCAAGCCATTTTTCTAAAAAATCCATGATCACGGGTATGCAAAAAAAATCAAGAAATGTAAAGATTGAAAAAAAAATTTTTTTTGCTCGAAACAACTTAAAACAACTTGAATTAT